TAAAGTAGAAATAAAACACTTAAGAATGGAAATTATTTCAATTCAAGCTAAATTTCTTTGCTATGATACAAACATTTTGGCAGAAAAATGCTGGATATAGAAATGCAGCACTAAGTGATTATGAAAGTTAATTATCTGCTTGATTTACCTATTAATAGACTGATACTCCCTGTTAGATGTATTTCAAAGTTTATTCTCTCCTTTTGTTTGAATGTTGCATCAAAGGTCCTCTCACTAATGTCTTCAGTTTGAGGCTTTTCCTGTCACTCAGGCGCAGAACAGAAATGTCAGTGATAAAACACCTGAAGTCTTTGCAGCGTCTTACTGCAGCATCAATAACAGTTTAATCGTTTTGTCTTTTTTTCCCCTTTCAATCTTGTCACTTTAAGATGAACCTTTTCAGTCTGGCCTCTGTCGCCCTCGTGGTGCCTTCACCCACATTGTTTTTTAAAGGTGGACAGCTCATAAAGATGAATGACGGGTGTGTGGGGGTAATTAGCCAATCTGAGGTGACGGGAACAGATGTACATAACTCTGTAAATTAAATCTGCATGGAGAACAAGGCAAGTCGCCTGATCACCCAGTTTCATTGACAGAGAGAGACTACCCCCACACACACATCTTTTAGAATTGATTTCATTAAGTTTCCTAAAAAAAAAAAAAAAAAAAACCTTGAAATTGCACAATTTTTCTAGACAAAGCTGGAAGGCAGACTTATTTTGGAAAGTCAATTCATTTCCAATGGGCCATTTTGTCCCTCTTTGTGTCTCTCCAGTAGGAGGTCAGAGCTGGAGACAGCCAGGCAATCAGCCGGCACACCAAGCAATCACCAGTGTATCCATAACGAAGGTTTTCTTTGGAAATTACATGCGCGTCATTTCAGGCAAAATTGTGAGGGGGAATAAACTGTAGTATTCGTTCTTTCTTTTCTTTTTTTTGTTTTTTTTGGCTTTTTTTCTATTTCCCATTGTAATGTTATCTGTGGCAGAAATCACTGAGCTGGTATAATCAGAGCATTCAGCGTGTGGCAGTTTTCATCTGCATTTTACTTCTCCAACATTTCTGCAAAGAATGAATAGAGAAAAAAAAATATGATCACACAGGAAGGAGATATTTTTGGCTTCAGGATTCGTGGGGACGAAGAGGTAAAGAGTGCAAAAATGCAGAAAATGGGTTAACAGAATAGAAGCTGCTCTGGCCGTATTAGACCAATCCTACATTGCACCTGAAGTCTCCCTTAAATGTCCTTCTAGATTTCTTCAGAATTCTCACAGAGGACTGGAAGAGTAATGAGGATGTTTGAAAGCAAAGTCCGTGAGGGATGTGCTCTACATCATTCAGATTTAACACCGCCATCTGTTTCATGGCGCCCTCCAACAGCAACATCGGGGCTTCAGACGAAGCATTTACGCAGATGACAGATGCGTTACCTGAGGAAAAGTTGGCCTGGGCTTAACACGTCTGATAAAGGAGACACACATTTCTAATAGGTGTCGGCTTTTTATTCGTCGTGCTGGTTTTGGCCAATCTTTTTCCCTTTTTCTCGGCCTGGGGAGACACTAAGCAGCTGACTCCTTCTGGTAATGAATGTCAAATCAAAAGCTGACCTATTTAGAAAGGCAAAGCTCTTTCGCACCTATGACAGGATGATATCTTTCCTGAGCTCCACCACAGGCGTCTCTCCTCAGACAAGTCCGTGCTGCTGGCTGTACTCCCTGAACTTACATGTTGATTCATCCATACTGCATTGTGCACTGCAGTGCTTCCCAAAGATTTTCTGGAACCCCCTACGGATTACAATAACCCCCCACTCCCCCAAAAAAGGGAAAAATAAAATAAAAACTCAACTGGGCACACACATCGTTCAATCAGACATAAACCTCACACATTCAAACACCACTGAAGTTAATTTCACATTTCAGGTTGCAACAAAACACACTACAAATCTTTACAGTGAAATACTTTTGTGTAGCTGGATTTATTATTTTATTTCCATTCATGCATACCGCTTCTTCGCTACATTAGCTTGTTGTTTTGCTGTGTTTCTCTGTGGCCTATCTCAAAGTGTATTTACGTTTTTATCAACCATTTTAAAGTTGGATAAGCATCAGACACAAAGTGAGCGATACTTTTCTAAGCAGAAATAACAACTGATATGGTTTGAGCAGCTAAGTGTACAGCAGGTTCTCAAATTAGATTGTAAGCTTTTAGCTTCCCAAAGCAGGACTTTCCAGGACTCCTTGACCTTCAGGATTCACCTCGCAACCTGTAATTGAAAGGAGAAAGTGGCTACGGCGCGAAGTTATGTCGCAATATTGACTAAATGTCACCTCAGAAATTAGAGGGGCCCAACAGCTTCTGCTGTTCACTTTCTTGATGGTGGGAATACGTCCACGCCTGAAGCTCCCAGCTCAGCCATATCTGACATTTCAACATGCAGGTGGAAAAAAAATGATTTCCTCCTGGAAGTTAGGCTCTGTTTCTAAACACAGCAAAATAAGTGATGCACAAATGGCAGTGAGGTGCAGCTCCGAGGTTTGGATCGCAAAATCTGGATCTCTATGTTATAGCTTTATAGAATGTGACAGCTGTAGTATAGAGGAAAGCTGAGAATTCTCCAATACACGTGTGCAAGCACCTGTGAATTGCAACAAATTGATTTACTGTCGCTCATGAAGATGACGCTCATTTTAATGACTACTCTGGAATTTACTCCATTTTAGCTGAATGTGAGATCTAATTGTTAAGCATCCTGTCAGGTCTTGTCTCTGGGTGAGCAGCGTGATGAGCTGGAACACACATTTACATGTTTCTCTGTCTCCACCTCTCCTGTCTCTTAAAGGAGCCTCGGGAGCTGGTCTTGTTTTCCACCATGATACCTTGGCAGGAGAACAGCACTCTGTTTTCACTTGATTCACATCTTTAGTTCTCGAGTTTAGTGACTTCATACCTATGTAGGATCTTGCATTATAAGGTACCGAAAGATGACAAAAAGCCCTGCTGCTTTGTGGTGTTACTTGGTGCCGATTTGTTGTTGTTTAGCTAAACAAACCATGTTGGAACCAATGTGGTGATTTTGCCCCCATTTGGTTCCTGCTCTGAAGATTTTTTCTAAATGAAAAATATTACTGACAAGAATCCTCTTCAGGAGACTGTTATACAAAGACCGTGTGTCAGTCAGAGGCTTCTGCATAAACGCTGTAACACTGGATGCTACAGAAAAGCTGTGTTGCTGCCCACAGCCATGAGAGTCTACAAAAATTTAAAGAAAATTCAATAGCATGACTTACAGTAACATTTAATTTCCTCTTTGGGGTTGAAAAAGTATTTTATATACATATTGAATTAAATTGAATATTATTATTTTATTAATTTATTGTGATTCTAAGCACGTTTGGATCAGTTAGCTCTTGACTAGTTAGGAAAAAATGACCCCTGATTTCACAGAATTAACTCCTGTTGGTCGATTTTAGTTTTTTGAGTCACACAACCTCGTTTCAACTAAGCAAACTGTCAGTGAACAGAAACAAAAGATTGGCATTAAAAAGGTGAACAAAACGCCCCACAGTCAGGTAACAATTAACATTTAGCGAGCAAGAAGTATCCTGTGGCTGACGGCCTCAATATGCCCCACAACACCGGATACAAAAAATACTTCAATTGCAAATGTACAAAGTACTTAGTGTAATGTAATTTTTAATGCATAAACTTTAGTTAGATGATAGTTCCAAAAAAATAAATTGGTAACATATTTCCGCAAATACTGACATGTGGAACATGGCTGTCGTGACAACTGCCTTCACTTTGTTGTTCATTGATTAGAAAATGTCAATTTGTTTTACAATAACTTATCTTATGTTTTGTCAAATACCAGGGGTGCACCAATTGAAATGTTCTTGCTGATTGCCAATTACCGATCTTTAAAACGCCAAAGAGTCGGCCAATTCTGATTTTGGCCGACTCAAATTTCTTTTGTCTGAAATGTTGGGAACTCACCCAACTGAGTTGCTAACACTCGGCTGACTATTGTTTCTCACAGCAGAGGACCCTGGTTGATGTTTAGACATTTACTGATGTAGATAAGATCGGTGGAAAAGATCGGCTTCATGTGTAAGCATCGTCTTTTCACTGATTAATTAAGGCCGACATATTGTCTTGCCGATAAACCAGTGCACCCCAATCAAATACATTTATGCCATACAGATAACATTCACTCGTATTTTCCAATTAAAAAAAAAAAAAACCTGCAGGAGAAAAGCAGCTTCTCTTCAGCCTCTTATTGCCCTTTAGCCTTTCAGGTTCACAGTCCTAAAAACAGCTACTTAACCATGGAGGGAGGAGGAAAAAAGTATAAATTTGTTAGTTGTGCAGTGTCACAGCTGTCACCTCTTTGCCCTCAGCAGTCAGCCGGTGTCGACTTGGCGTTTGGGGGGTTAGGGGGGGTTTGAATGACGCTTTCAGCTCTCTAATCTGGGGAGCAGAGAGGTGCTGCTATCGCTGACAGTGTGACTGACAGGCAGGCGGAGAGGACCCAGCTGTGATGGCTGCTGTCGGCTCAGTGGCAGCCTTATGATGAATTGCCTCTCCTGAATGATAGCGCTGTTACCGAGTGATGTCGATGCAGGATTGTTCTGTCACCGCCTCACCGACGGCCGCGAAAAGGGTAAAAATAAAATAAACAAGCAGAGAAATAAACCGCTATGCAACTCGTGCCCCATTTTATTATTTTTTTTTTACTTCTATATTAATGTTGCCACGCGTCATACGTCTCCATAAGCAGCAATATGGAAGCAGAAGCTTGCGGGGGAGAAAATTGTCTTGTACGTTTACAAAGTTTTAAGTGATGTAAAGTATTCATTCTTTCTTTTTTGATGCAGCTGCACAATTAATTATCCTCATAGTAAGAGAAGCTGAAAATTATTTGTAGAAAAATGCAATAAATTACATTTGTTCTGTGCCTTATTTCCTGATATTCACCTTCATTTTCTGTCTGCTTCCAGCTCAGATGACTACTATGAATATGGACACAGTGGGGAGTCATATGAGTCGTACGGTGAGTCACAGACCTCCTTTTCCATTGTATATACGCATAACAAATATATATAAATATGGTGTCAATTGTCAGAACAATATCTCTTTTCATTTCCTCACTCTAGTCTGCTGGCTTTACTCAGTTGCCATAGCACCTGGCTAATGGAGTGCTGTTTCAGACACATTCAGACTGAGCGTGTTTTAAAAGTCATTTGTCACTAATCAGAACCTCTTCAGCTCATTTAGATAATTAGGTGGAAGCAGTGTTGCTCGAAATTAAAAACAATTACCAAGAGTGGAGGCTTAAGGTGCAGGAGTGTATATTTATAACCGCGTCGTTGTAAATATTGACTGACATTTTTTGCATCACTCCAGTTTCTATTTTTGAGAATTGTTTCGGGGGGGGGGGGGAAATGCTTGAGGTAAGATATCCGGGGGTTAAATGCTGATTTTTTTTTTTTTCCTCAGCTCTGTAGAGGAAAACGTCAAAACAAAATAAAAATAGAGGATAACCTTTACATCATCCCTAATCCTTCTGCAGCTAAACCAGGAAATAAAGGAGCAGAGTTTACTGCTTTGTAGAAGGTGTTTATATTTCTTTGCAAAACGATTTTCACCCATTTGGCTTTTTTATATTTTGTCATGTTGGAGCATTTTCGACTATGAGTTAAAAAAAACTGAAAAGTGTGGCGTGTAGAAGTTTTACTCCTGAGTCAATGTTTTTGCAAAACTACTTCAGCTGCAAATTCAACTTCAAGTGTTTATTTATGTTTTTGTAATTTTGCATATCAGTCTGGCAATTCTTAAGAAAATTAAGATTTCACCTAATTTTCTGTGTAAAACAAATCCAGCTAAGTTAGATTGGATAGAGAGTGTTATTAAATTCAAGCCTGTCTGCTGATTTAGGTTCCGGTCTTTGATTGAACCACTTAAATACATGGATACATTTTGGTCTCCACCGTTCTGTTATACCGTTCCTATAGAAAATATTCACCTCTGTGGATGTTTTACCCTTTTTGATTATTTTTTTCATGATATTTTTTTTTTGACAAAAGAAAAAAATTGTCAAAGATCAGCTTATTCCTACCAACACAGTTACTGCACTCAGGTGATCTATACTTATAATAAGACAAGTAGCACCAACTGACTGGACCTCTGTTGAATTAAGTAAGTCACTTTAAAGATGGGGAAAAAAAATATCTTCTGTTAGATATTTTTATTTAACTGTCATTACTGCAGCATTTTTGGCGGGCTATGTTGTGGCAAACTGGCTGTAGTGTAGCAGGGAACAAGTGGGACTCGGTGAGCAATAATGTACCTTTAATTACTATATTTGGATTCTGAATATTAAACTAATTTAACATGGTTTCAGGACAGTATTAACACTTTTTGCCTGTTTGGTACATATTTTTGACATTGGCAGGTCGAACACAACTAAAGTGCCAGATTTGGCCTGTGGGGGGCCAAAGGTCAATATTTGTTTTATGTGGATGGTTTTTCTCCTTTATTTTATGCAGAGCTGCTTCTGCTTCACTGCCATTTACATTCCCAGCCAAAAACCTAAATATCACTTCATTACCATGATGCCGGTTTCATCCTAGGTTGCTGGACAAAATGAATACTTTAATAAACTTCTTCTCGCTTCTGGTTTGGAGCGATCAAATCCGAAGCGAGTTTGGACCAGCTGCACTTTCTGCAAACTTCTGGCAGAGCTCAACCTCCCTGAGGCAGTGTTCAGCAAACCTATGTCAGCTTTCTGACATGATCGGTAAGATGCGGGCCAAGGTCAGATCTGCTGCCGAGTGCCTCCAGATGACAGCGGAATTGCAGAGCTGTAACCGCGCAGCTGTGGAGCAGCAGGTCGATGCATCTTTTATATTGTGCTGTACATCTGGCCTTAGTGTGAACTTGACTTGTTTTGGAAGCTGTTTGTTGTGAGTGCAGGCTAATTCTCTAATACTGCATTATCGCAACGCCGTGTTGACGTTTCGTCCTGATCCAGCTCTTAAATTGGATTATTGAAATGTATTATTCATGATACGGGATGCAAAAAAAGACAAATGTTTCAATTAAACAGATGCCAAGGCGGAGGGATGCTTTCGGTGTCAGCAGGATTAGACAAAACCAACGTGGCCAAGTTTAATAAAAATAAATAAATAAATAAATAAAAATGGTAGGATGGTAGAAAATAATGCTGCCTTCAATAATAGTGGAGTTTTTGATTCATGGTTCCTTCCAAAAGTATTCATACCCCTTCAATTTTTTTCACATTGCAACAAAATTTCAATATACGTTATTGAAACTTTATGTGACAGACCAACACAAAGTCACTCTCAAAATAAAATTGTCCCTCACTGGGGAAACCTGTCAGATGGGTAATCTGAAGCATGTAAATTAAACAGCACAAAAAAACAAACATAATTTACAGCACAAAATCTACAAAGTGTGCACAGACCTGTTATAATAAATTTGCTGGACAATAAATTGTGCCAGAAGTTATTGAGATACATGATAACATGTTTGCGACCGTTTTCAAGTAGGTGATGGTGAAGAACACATTCTCAAAGATAAATAAACTTTAAATTCTAATAAACATGTTACACTGGTAATGGAAGACATTTTAAAAATAAAAAAATGAAAATAAAACATCAAAAATAAGTAATATAATGATGAATTCTGAAGTCTCTGTAAACAACCTTTAATAAAGGTTGAGACCAAAGCATTAGACCGACGACTTCTAGTTTTTGGTAGAAAGAGAGAAAAGAGAAAATGGATATATCATGAAAATGGAAATTGTGGAGCTCCATTTGATTTGTCATGTGATTAATTGATTTATTGTGAAAGTGTGCATGCATATGTTTGTGCAAAAAAAAAAAAAAGCAGCAGAGTAAGAAGTGGAAAAAAACTGTGTATGTTCAGTAACAGCAAGAATGTTATTTGAAATGGGAAAAACAGAGCAAATGACTGCAGGGATGTGAACACTTAGAGTTTGTTGGGAGCCATGATGGTTGTAGTCCTTCCTTCCTCCCAGCTGCAGGGAGGACCTACGATGACGCTCCTCTGTACGCTCAGCCTGCAGCTCCTGTTTGTGAAGTAAATTTAAAAAATCTTTTCAATTAGATATTGCAAATACGAAAGGCCTGTATGAAAAAGGAATGCAGTTTGAATCCAGTTGGATCTTTGTTGTAGTTCTGACGGTGTGTTTAGGGTAATCGAAGAAAAACTAATTCCACAGCAGGATGCTGTCATGCTTCTGTCTGGCATGGAGAACAAAAAGCTTCCTGGCTAATGAGAGCAACGTTTCCTCCATGCTGCCTTCATTTAGCCTTCAGTTTATAACAAGCGTAACGTTCCTGTACGTTTGTAGTTCATATGTCCATAAAACATCTCTGTGTTTCACAGTAGGAAAGGTTTGCTTTTTCTCAAATATCTTGTTGACTCATTATTGAATTATAGTTGATTATAGTTGGTTATAATTTTTGACTTTGGTCCCCCTATTCAAAATAACTGAAAAGTGTCTAAAACCAGATATTCTGTCAGATTATGTGATTTCTACACTGAGAATGACATACACGCAGTTAAAAAGCAAAAAAGAGAGACTAAATATAAGTACAAGTGCAACGTTTCTAAATAGCATTTTATTAAAAAAAACAAAAAAAACTCTTAAGATAATACAGGAACATTTATTAAATTACAAAAAATGTAATTATTTCAGCAACTCATCACTAAGTGAAACACAATCTATAGAATAATTAAACAAGCTTGATGGTTTAGCACCTTTATTTTTTCTTATAATGATGATTTTCTACTTACCTCTAATATGAACACAGTTAAAAATCAGGATAATACATGAGACCAAGAAAAAACTATTTCAAAAAAATAGTAATGTGGGCTTGATAAAAGTAAATATAATACTTGCTATAAATTGAATTTCAAAAAGTACTTTTAGTCTGACAAATGAGACTCTTAGGGACAAGTATTCTAATTTATTAAATACGAATTTATAATTTTTTGTCCCCATTCCGGTTACAGTCTGCTTTGTGTTGGTTGTAACAGGACGTGGATACATTAGAAATGTGCTGTATAAAGGAACAGAGCCGGCTGTGAATTTGTGTAGCTGAGAAGCTGGAAGTGAATCCGGAGAGGACAGCGGAATTCACTTCAACTTCACGGAATCTCCTTTAATTGGGTTGCGCTTCTGCAGGAAGTTTGTTGAAAATTCGCCCTTTGTATGTTTGGCTGTAAGCCTGCTGACAAACAGAGTAATGACACCAAAAGCCGACCTCCACCTTAGCTCAGCGTTAGCCGGGTAAAACCGGCAGTGATCCACGACGCGTACTCGTTTTTGCTTTTCACGCGTTTATTCCACAGACATGCTTTCAGAGGCAAGTCAAAGCCATTAAAACTTTCTCAACTTTTCTGACGGTGCCAGTGAAAGAACTAAGCACCCTCTACTTATTAGACTGATGCCGACCTGCGAACATGAAACGCTAATAATGATAATAACAATAATCATCATCATGCTGCGCGGGTCACACAGACAGGAAGGCGACAGCTCAGAGAAAGCAGATAAACAACACTGACGGGCTTTCTTGTTCTCAAAACACAAGGTTACCTTGGTGTGTTTCTTCAAAGTGAGTGTCAGTGGAAGGGTGACAGGTTTAATTAAGGGGTATTGGCTATGTGCTGGCAACAGAGAGCCTCCACACTGGGGGGGAAAAAAGGAAAAGAGAGAGAAGCAGCCTTTGTTAGCTCCAGCTCCGGGGAAGTCTCAGCGCTGGCTGGAGATCAGACAAAGGGTGCCGTCAATAGCAGCACTTTCGCATTGACGCTCACGGGGGGAGGATGAAGGGGAGCAAGACCTGATTTGAGCTAATGGTAATTGTGACCTTTTTCTCTGGGAGCCACTAAACGGGCCCTTTTCAAGTAGCTATTTGATCCTCACATTCAATTAATCTGGATGGATTCATCCAGGTGAAAGCCCTGATGGAGCCAGAGCTTTTTGGTTTTACAGGCAGATCCAAATTCCTGCTTCAACGTCAGCAGAGGGAGATCGTTTACTGAACACCTCCGATATGGCCGGGGAAAGTTCGGAAAAGTTTCTCATCTGATTTAACTATTTAGTAGGGAGGAAAACTGTGACATTTGTTTTATTTCAAGTACATCACTAGAAACTAGCCACTTGATTAGACTGTTTTTTTTTTTTTTTTTTGCATTGTACGGAATTTTTACATGGTAAAATATTTAGGAAGTATTTGCTGCATCTGCATGTGTCGTTTCAATTAAAGTGTGCTGCCTCTAATCGCTCTCCGTCTGTTTATCCTGTTTTTCCCCGGATCAGGTCAGGAAGAGTGGGCAAACAGTCGCGGCAAGACTCAGTCGGCGCGGACGACCAAGGGAGCATACAGGGATCAGCCATACTCCAGATACTGAACTGTTTTTACGAGCCGCACCTCCCTCCCCTCACCCTGATGCCCCATGGCGGTTTCAACCCAAGTAATGGATTTTTTTATGGACGCTCCCATCTTTTTAGAATTGAAAACCGAATCCGCGACGTAACACAAAAACAGAATGCTGAACTGAAAGTATTATAACATGCTCTTGACTTGGAAAAGAAAAACCTATAAAGCAGTTTAGGTAAGCTGTACGCCCTCTCTGCAGTAGAATCTACAGAAAATTAAGGCTAAAAAGAAAAAGAAAGACTCCATAGTACATTAAGTTTCTCTCTCAGCTATGTGATTGTGAAGAATGATATTGTATCAGGCTATTTTACTTGGTAATGATTAGTGAGCCACTGTAAGCTGTTGGATACAATGCTTCCACACAGCTGCCAGTGCAACTTAATTTATCAACCTCTATTCTTTAGACCTCTGAAATGTTAGTAGATTAGTTTCTAGGAAAGTGCAGTACTGTAGATACTCTCTCCTGAAGGATAATTGGTGAACTTTGTGTCCCTTGTAAATGAAACATTTGCAAACTGAGCAAAAAGAAGAGATAAGTCATTCTGTACACACATTGTATTGCTGTTTCTTCCTCTTTTTTAATGTAAAATAACAGTCCAGTTAGTGTTAAAGGGCTTATAGAAGCATGGTGTGCAACTGTGGACGTTACCAGCTGTTTAAAGAAGCCTGTGTCGTTGTGATCATTGGTTTGGCCCCCAAACATCTCCTTACATCCATTCAGAAATAGCTTTGCCTGCTTTCTGTACGCTGATCCACCGCAGCTGCCAAACGCTTTGGGAGCTTTCAAATGTCTGCTTTTCCTTTTAGATGCTCCTGCTGAGCATTTGCGATGCTCCTCGTTTTTATGTTTTTTGAGAATATAAAACGTGATACAGTGCTGGTAAAGAGTTTACATTCCCTCATCTTAGGCATGAATGTCCTCTAAACAATGATGGATTTGAGTCGGTCTTTTTTTCTGGGGTGTAATGAGGATACAACATGATTTTGAGGATACAAAAGTCTGAGTTTGTTAACGGACTTACTCTAACTAGATCAAAAGTTATACATCCAGTGCTATCATTCATAAATTTAAATTTACAAGTGGTAAAGAGCTTATTCTGGCACGATTCTACCTGAACTAGTAGGTTTCTGTCACATGAGGTGGTTGTACAGTGGGTGCCCATATACACCGGCTGACCCTCTGACCTTTACTGCATGTCTTCTTCCCTTTCTCTCTCTGCCTATTTCCTGTTTGATTACTACAAGTAAAGGCCATTAGTGCCACAAAAAAAAAAAGAAAAGAAAAATCTTGATAGATTTCTTTGACTGACCTGCTTTCAAGCACAGTCTGCAAATCTTGAATAGGGAAAGGTCAGGGACATATTCGCCTTCTTTATCAGTTCCAAAATATGTTTTGATGTGTGTTTGGGTCCATTGACCTGCTGGAACATGACGTTGTGCAAGAAAAACACAGCATGTATGGGTTTCAGAGCAGCTGCTAGATCATAAGATCTGTTTTCTTCACAAGGCACAAGAACATTCTCCTGATCGCAACTAGTGTCTAACCCTTAAGTACAGGTCCTGACTCCTGACTGCAGATACTTTCTATGTAGCTAACAAGAACAATTCAGACAATATCTGATGTTCACAATACTAAGATCTGATTAGTAAACTGATTAGTAAAAGGATTTGTCATTTCCTGACTTTTAGAGATTTGTTCTGCTGTGCTGATCAACTGTGTGAGGTTTGGTTGCTCTCATTCATCTGTATGATTTCACACCCAATAGTCCAAAGGTTTGTCTTGATGGGGGACCAAAGTTGCAACTTCCATTTTCAGCTGATGATATTCTCTTTCACGCTGCTCTGTGTCAAACAATCCAAAACATTTGCAAAACCCGTTCCTCTCCTCGCCTGTGATGGCGCTGCACTGAGAACCACTGAGCCAAACGACATGAAAAGCTCTGAAGAAGACACTGCTTCTTCAAGAAATGTAAATAAAAACGGAGTGGCAGGTTTTAATGGTCGTAGGATTTCTCTTTTGTCTTTGGCAAAAGAACACAAACTATTTCTCCCTTCAACATTAGACTCACACATTTGTTTTGGTTGTATTTACCAATGTTTGATGGTTAATAACACGAAGTATGTTTGGAAGAGTCAATGTGATCCATTCAAAACAAAGAAAACGTTACAAACTGTTTCTGTTGCGTCGTACAGATTATGTGGAATAAAGACTACAGACAAGCTCTTCAGTTTCACCCGGGCTGCGACATGCAGTTGGTTGTTGGAACAGGACAATAACCCAAACAGCTATTAGGCTTTGTGTTGGTCCCAACCTTCACCGTATTGAAGGTGATTTATGAAATGTGCTCAAAGGCCGGTGCAGGGCAGGCCAATGAGGGTAATCAGAATGAATTCAACCAATTTAGGCAGAATTATGCCAGAAGCTTCGCCACGAAACCGTGTAGTTTCTCTTCCACTTGCTATGACACACTTAACCAAATCTAATGCGAGAGTATGGATATAATTAAGCTTTTATTGGTAACGTTAGTCACACGTGGATGAGGGAAATTTGTATTTGTGCTCCCAATCCTTCCCAAAACTCAGTGAAGTTGCAATTATCCTCATTACAACCGGACAAAAAGAACAGGCAAAAATTATCACAGTTACGATGTTCATGTGTGTGATCGGTGTGTGTAAACTTTTGACCACAACCTTACCGTTAACTTTCTCCACACTTGTGTTTGAGTTTCAATCTCATCATCCACCTTTCCACCTATCCTTCTGGAGATATGTTCAACTCTATGGATTGTGAGCTTATGTAAGCCCTTTAATAATTCTTTCTTTGTTGATGCTAATAAACATTTTGAAAAAAAACCCTGGTGTTGAGGAGAATAATTACGCACTGCTAACTGCGCTTTATAATTTAAACTAAACCCAATGAAATGTTTGAAACATTTGCACCAGAGAAAATCTCAAAATTAACTAAATGGATCTTTTACGCTTTGTCAACATTGCAAAAGCTTAAACCGTCACGTTTCAGATATAGAATTTAACACAAATATCAAGATGGCATGACCAGAAGTCCAAACAAACACAAAATGGCCGCTGGCGACTTTGCAGACGGTCTTGGTCATCTGATAACGTTTTGCACCGATTTGGATTCAAAGCATTTTCATAGCACCGTCTTCCACTGAGACGCAGAGGCTTTAAGCGACAACAACTCTTGAAACTCGTATTTGCTGATATGAGCTGATGCGCCTGATTGCGTCACGCATCATCAGTAAACGCACAATAACGTCTGAGTGTTTACTCCCTGACAGACACGGCTCATCTGAAGCCTGCACAACCTGCCACGTTGGCTTCAGCGCAAAAAAAAAATAAAAAATTTAAAAAAATGGAGCGTTGGTGGGGTAGAGTTCTCTCTCTCTCTCTTTCTTGTCTTCCTGTTTTTGCTCTTCCTGCTCATGTGACCCTCTCCCAGTCGCTTTAAAGATCCTGCCTTTACCCCGCACGTTAAATTGAACCCCAGCTGACCTCCGCAGAGAGAGGATGGCAGTAGCTGTTTAAAAAGACCGCCGCCCCACAAGGTAAACACCCTAACCCAGTTTAACCTCACCCCCCTCAACATAGTCACTCATAAACAAATTCTAAACTTCAATGAAATGTTTTCCTGTAACTTTGAAGTTCGTAATCCTGCCACGAAGCTAGAATTAATTAGATTTCTGAAAAAAAAACAAAGCTAAAAAATGTTAAATACCTTTAATATCTCAACAAACTGTGACATCATTTTATTCTAAGATATTAATAAAACACGCTTTGTTTCGTTAGCTGGACTAAAAACATGGCTTGTGTTTTCTGATGTTGGCTGAAAATGATATTGCTCATGGTGTTTCTGTTTTTCCTTCCAGGCTGAGGTCACAGCTGAACACCACTGTCTGTCCAAACACGCTCCTACCGCTGAAGGTGCGTCGTTAGCTGCACTCTGCATCATTTGTGGGTTTGGGCTGGTGTAAACTTTGGTGATTCAACACCTGTTAGCTAATCTAGCCCAATGTTTCTGTATCACAGCATGAAAAGAAAAAAAAAATGTAATGAATTAAATTATTTACCCATTGGTGAAAGAAGGTTCTGTGAGCTCACTGACCTTATTAGTTCCTTATTTGGTTCCAGAGCTGTTCTGTATTTCTAACCAGTCAGCAGAAAAAAATGATTAAAAAAAAAAAACACTGTGGATGCACCAATCCACTTTTTTCCCTTCCGATACCGATATTTGAGGTTTAGTATCAGCCGTTATGGATCCGATACAGAAAACAGTTGAACTGATTTAAAATGTTTTATTTTTGAACACAGTCATGAATGTACTGAATTATAAATGTATTGAGTAACTCTGCACCACTACAGTGTAGGTAAAACACACCTGGAGCTTCACAAGCTCGGTCAAACATGCAAAAACACCTTTCAATTGTTCAGTCAGTGCAATCAGCAGTAGAACAACCTTCATAAAATAAATATAATTGAAACTAAAGGCAATAGGTTGACTACTTTGTTTAAAGGTGTAAAACAAAATTAACTGCAGCAAACCCTCTTTCAAATCATTCAGAAAGTGCAACTAGGAATACTAAATATAATGTAAAATAAATAATAAAGCATTGCATAACTCACAGCACAAAGCCTAGAACTAGACTGAACAGACATTGCCACAAATACGTGATTGAGAATTTTTTATTTTTTTTTTATTTCTAGACCGATACAGAAATCAATATGAGACTGGTTCATCTCTAAAGAAAAACAACCTGAGCTAATCAGATTATCACCTCCATGGGATCTAGTGTCATAATATAATATACATAATATTATTATTCGGAAATACACTGATGTATCATAAGACATTCTGTATGAATTGCTTTCAATTCTACAAATTTTACCACAGAAATGACATGTAAGCTTTTATTGATACCAACTTTGAAGGACCTCATTTCAAAATATCCAAACTATCCCTTTAAAGACGCAGCGTGGAGAAAATCAAGGCAGTTCTGTGGAATTTCAACAGGATGCACGTCGGCGCGAGTCCACGGACATTTTGTTCCTGTGCACTTCATGTTAACTTCTTTTGATGATGTACTGGAAGTTAAATTGGTGTGAAATGAAGGTAAAAAAAATATAATGTTTTGATCTTCAAAGTAAGACTCCTTTAAAAGTTTCGGAGATGAAATGAGCTATAACTTCAACCGTCACCCAGAGATTTAACATAAACTATAGAGAGTTTAATCAAGGAAAAAAGGATTTTCTTTTCTTTTTTTTTTTTTTTGCCTTTAACAGTTAATGTTTGTAAAAGATCGTCGATAAGGATCTAATGCAGATATTTTCCATTTAGCAAACTTAAGCATGCTAAATACAACAAATCAAATATTAATGTGACTTTGAGGCGACCTGGTTTTTTCCAAATGGATGTTTAAAGCTTAGAAATATTTTCCCACAGCTTTTGAAATCCTTCCGAAGCTCGACCTTCATCCCCCCCAGTCCCCAACAGTAGCTTTCCACAATGTCCTCAGGGGGATTCTGGACTCGCTGCCTCTTTGTGCAAATGCAATTACTGTGTGAGAACATTCTGTGTTATTTGAACCACAACAGGGTCTCCACCGTTGTGAAGATGACACCCTCCACTTGCATTAAGTGAAGAAATGCAATGCCTGACTGATCGCATTAGCTGAAAACATGAAAAAAAAGTCTCACAACGTTTTCTCTCTTTGTTTTGTCTTCACAGCATTAAAGAACAACGGAAGCGTCTTCCTAGAAGCATTGTCCAATCGAATCGGCGTCCATATTCACAGATCTTTGTTTGACCATTTGTGTGTTTTAAAAAAAAAGAAAAAAAATTACAAGGTGGACTGTGGTCATTACTTCATGGCTTCGAAAAAAAAAAGATGGAAAGTGACTTGTTTGGAGACGCGGAAAACAGGGTTGGAAGCCACATCACATGCATCACACCTCGTCGTTCTCTGGAGAAAAGAGCAACAAAAAAAAACAAAATAAAATGAAGCCGCGAATGGACTGCAGCGTCCTCCGGGACTCAGAGAAGAAAAATTCTTTCAGAGCATCATTGACTCTCCGTAACTTCTTCACACATGCAGAACTGTTCTGGATCGACTGCGAGCCTGAACCCGTCTCTCCCGGTTGTGGCGGAGAAGACGTGTGAAGCCTTGATTGTAGACGTTAACTGTTGCCTGCCTGGACGGATGAGTTCGGGAATAATGCAGCATGCCAAGGGAGGAGCGTCGTCATCCTAAAGGGATTTCTGTTTCTCTCTCATTGCTGTCGAGATTTTCAATCCGGTGTGCTCGATAGAATTAACAGAGAGAATTAAGTGCCTTTCTGTGACAGTTTTAGACATTTTTGGGCTAAAGTTCAGCTGCCAGACTAGCCAGCTGTTTCCTTTCCTACTGCGTCACCACGGCGTTAGAGCCTCCTTCTCGTCCTCACAGAAGACGGCGCCCCGTTCCACATGCGTCGCTTAATCACGCTCCACTTCGGTGGATATTCCAATTCTGAAATAGCTTTTCCACCGATACAGAGCGAGCGCCGTGAGTCCAGACGGACTCATCCCTATTCCACACACTTGTAAGTTCTCAAAGGCAGACAATAGTTTTCCATTAGAGGAAGCGATTGCCGGCGGAGCCCCGGGCGCAGCCTCAGACAATAACACGTTGACTCGGCCTGCCAGAGTCAACGCTCATCACCTCCAGGGGCTGATTCCCACTCTGAAGTGGCTTATAGACACAGGCTTATCTGAAGTAAGCTTGTCTGAGTTAATAGAGAAAGAACAGCTCATTTGATTAAGAATGCATACAAAGGAGGATGTAGTGATCTGTGGCTAGGAGACGAGTCAATTTCAGCTCCAGAATACAAATCAATGTGTCTCTAACAGACCATAAGACTGCTTAGCTCAGCAATGAAATTAGACTGAGGCGAAATGCTAAAGCAGCGATGAACTCGTGAATAAAGGACAACTTTTGCTGAAGATGTCACATTGCCCTGGTGTGATGGTGTGATGGTGTTTGCGTTACGATTGTGAGTCATACGTGAACTCATGTTTGCTTCACCATAGCCATGCTGTTTAGTTATGTTCATAAGGGCCACCTTCCGCTGGAATGATTGTTGTGTAGCTAACAATTAATCTGACTCGAGTTAGCAGGTACAGAATCCTCCGATTGCTTGGTTCCATTAGGTTCCTCTACTGCAGGATTTCATTTCGGGCCACATCTAGATCACAAATGTCTTCAAATTGTTAAAAAATGTGCTGATGAAACCACGTAAAAGCATTAAAGTATTAGTATTATCTATTTTCCAGGCACATAATGCCATTTTATAGCCTAATCAAATAATGTTAACTTCAGTTTTTATAAATATGCTGTTTGTATCAGATATGACTTAAAAGAAATTTGACTTTGTATTTCAATGCCTTGAAGTTGGTCCTCTGTCTCTTTAAGAAGCTCTTGCTCTTTCTGAAACTCCGCCCCAACAGGAAGTCAGTGACACCTGAAAAGCTCGACTGGTCAGGCTGAAAGGTCTTCATTGCATTCATCATAGAGCCAGCCTGGAGGAAGAAACTGTCCCTGTGGTGGCTAGTTTTTGCAAATAGTGCCAAGCTGAAGGTCAAAGTTTAAACAGTTTGTGTCCAGGATGTGTGGGGTCTGCAGATATTTAACCTGATTCCAGAGAGATAAATACCTAATCATCAAATCAGCAGCGTTGTCCCTTACAGTTCCAATGCTTTTTCTGAACATCGAAAACGATTATAATGGAATATATTATTTCACTGTGCTATATTTAAGTTTGTGTACACATAAAAAATTATCATGTATAATAATATTATGCTGTTTTAGCTTCTGAAGCTGTAACCCAGCAAACAACATGTTCCAGATATTGGCAGGCTCACTTTTATAAACATTGGGTAATTAGGATTTTATTCATGTATTAAACACAAATGGAAAATTCTCATTAGGGATGTAACCAGACTCATGATATTAAAACATGACAGTGTTTCTCATCAAGGTAAATGCTATCTTGTTAGCAATAACCATTTGCCTGATGATGATGTTGTAGTAGAAGTTGGTTTAGGTTTCCAGTAGGAACGATTAATGGGGACATATGGACAGATGAGACACCAACACTGTATTAACACTGAAGGAAGCAGAAAGCAACACCGAAACAGCCAATGGTGGGACGTCCAGCAGTAACGTGGAGATGCGTCATGGTCACAGAGAATGTTGTCAGTAGTTGGTAAGTGTTGGTAAGTAGCTGGTAAATGTTGTACTGCGGACCATGCAGTACAAGGAATCCTAAAAGACAGACATCTCGTCCCGTCTTGTTCTCTTGAACGCAATATCGTGTATCGTCTTGTGAGTTTTAGGTATCGTTGCGCCTCTAATGTTCGTAGATAAGTGTAATACTAAACCATAGGTGCAACCAACAGACCCAAACCCTCAGAAACATAAAGAAAGATTTCATTTTGGCACCTTCATCTGCAGAGTGCATTACACGCTTGGCGGCCATATTTGATTTATGATCAAATGTTCAAGTTTTACCGACATGAACATTTTAAAGTTTCTACTTCCATGGGGAAATAACACTTCTGTAAAAAAGTGTTATTGGCCAGTAGACTGGCCAATTTTTCTGATTTTTGTTGTTGCTGTAAAAATTCATCATTATATCGTAAAGATAGAAAGTTGAGGCTCATCCAGGTTAACGTCTCATAGATCACACACACATCTTCAAACCCATGGCAACAAGCAGAATTATGTGGGTGCGCCTTAATGTATGGTTTAGTAATTTTTTCTTTTTTTGTTCTCTGATAATTCTAAATGCATACAGGGGGAGACAGTAAGTCACAGAGTGGGTTGTGTTTCTGGATAAGACTGAAGGAAAACCACTGCTGTATTTTTATTCTTTGACGTCTCCTGTGACTCAGGCTCCGCAGCAGTCAGACTGAAATTAACCAGAAATCTGTTCATCAGGCCGAGATTCAAACACTTGCAAGTCGATGGCGACTTCACGTCGAAAGCCGGCGCTAACGTGAGCGCGGGTCAGCATGTGACGCCTCTGAAGCGGCTGCTGAGATTGAGAGGGATCGATCACTACGGGACTTTGAGTCAACAGGCCCGATCAATGGAGCAGCACCGAACACGGATATCTGTTCAGCTCATATTTGATACCATTGAACAATTCCTGATTTTTCTGGGAAATAGATTTTTTTTTCTCCACAGCTCAAATGAAAAAAAAAAAAAAAAAGTGCAGAAAATGAATACATATGTATCAGAATAGAGACGTTGTTACAATAAAACTGTGTATGGCGAGTCTATGATCAGAAATCCCTGAATCTTTCATGTAATCTGCTGTCTAAGCTTCAAAAATACATTTTGCTTGTTGATGTGGTTTAGGAGCAATAACGTTTTCCTGCCCGCTGATTAAAAAGTTCTATGTCATAAAGGCAAGCAAATAATAATAATAATAATCATAAAGACTTTTCCCGTGTATTGAATTATTGGGCTCTTACGTCTTAACAAAGTCTTCACTAAATGTAACAGCAGTCGATGTGTTTTCCTCTCTGTTGCATTGATATTATTTACCTTGATACGCCCTTGGAATAATAGCTGCAGATCAAATGAGTTTGTGCAGCTGAAGCTGCCTCCGTCTCCAGCCTTTTAAATATTGCATGTTCTGTGTCCGCCCGCCGCCGCCTTGGATGCGTTCCTCTCCTCATGTAAATGCTGCCGTTTCTTTACGTCTTCGGGCTTTTCTTCCTTCTCCTTCGTCTCTCTCTGCTTCCATCCTGCAGGCCGTTCTGCTTTGATGTTTTGTTGGGGGTTTTTTTTTCCCCCTCGGCCGTGTGAAATTCAAGATTAAAGTCCGTCTGTCAGTGCCCCCGCCGCAGATACGTACGCAGATATAAACAAAAACAGACACAAACAAAAAAAAGAGTTGTTTTGTTTTTGCAAAACAGAACAAAGCAAGAAAGCAGTTATTACTGACTTAGAAATTAAGAATTTATTTACATTTTGAAGCCTCTGGATGACTTAATTTCACCAGTTGCGTTTTTTTAACGGCTCAGGGAAACGTCGGTCTGTTGCAGACTTTTGTTCTCCAGCTCTTAAACAGTAAACAGGCCTCTGGGCTCATGAAGGCTTACCTTCAGATTGTAGATCTCTAGTGAGGGTGTAACTTGCTATATTCTTGTGCTAAAGCTACTCTGAGGCTCAAGAAGCACTTAGAGCCCAGTTGATGTTCTGATGTGTTAAGAAGAAAAGCCGGGTACAGTTTGCTCTTCATTCCAGTCATAAAAGCAGAGTTGTAGAGCTTTCTGTGAAACAGAGCCAGTCGGCTTTAAGTCCCACCACTGAGGGTGTGCACATTAAAAAACCTCACCAGAACTGTTAAGCATGATTTTGAACTGGTACGTGGGCATTTCTTCTGCTTGTCTTCATCTTTAAATTTAAGCACCAGGTCCAGAGTTTCTTATACACAATAGTTTTCTCAGTTTTTGTCAAAAGGAATACCAGTGGTGGTACATTAAGGCCTTCCGGGATTTATCTCCTTCTTGTCGTTGTGCTCAGCGTTGATGCACAGCTTCAGCTCAATGTTAAAAGGCGATAAGTAATCAGAGCAGTAGGTTTAATGCCAGCCAAGGAGCTGAAGAGGGTTGACAGACCTCCACTCCCAATGAGGAGCAGCTCAGATCGGATCGTCCGACCAGCACCGAACACTCCTATCAGAAAGCTGGGCGTTTAGCCTGCGAGCTCTTCTGAATCTACAACTGTTACAGTTAACGAGGAGCGCTGAGGAAATTGGGACTTTTGTCGTAAATGACTACATTTAAAAGGTCAGCCAAAGGCCATGGATAATGTCTGCATTAACAAATCCCTCCTTCCTGCAGCTCAGAGGAAACATTTTATGGTCGGGGGCTTTTGGGATACTGTAGTTTGAGGGAAGCTGTGCTCGTAGTCATTGCTCCCGGATAGCTCACCATCCAGTTACAAGATAGAGTAAATCATAAGCCATGCAGACACACACCCATTTAGACTAGCTTACCCTAATTTATATAACGTTTAATTCAGAGATCTAGCTGCAGAATATGTTACAAAAAAAAAAAAAAAAAAAACATGTACAGTAGATGGTAAGAATATGTAACATCTCTGAGAAAGATCCCAGCTGAGAGAACCAATGGAAGTCTGGCTGTGAGGCAACAAAGGTCAGTAAAATCACCTTTTCACAGCAATTGCAGCAGCAATTCTTTGTGGGTACTGCATACATACTAGCGTCGCACATCTAGAGACTGACATTTTTGCCATTCTTAGCTTCAGTCAGATTAGCAGGAGAGTAGATATGAACAGTACATTCTTAAGTCTTGCCACCCTGCTGGGTCATTCTGACACATGAACATGCTTTGATTTACTGAAACTCTGACTGCATGGTTGGACCTGGTCCTTCTGAAAGGTGAACCTCAACGTCACTCAAGTGTTGATTGGTTTACTTCCGGGATTGTTCTGTTTTTACCTCCCATGGGAAGACATCATCAGCACAGCAAACTTTGCCCCCATGTTCCTGCAACTGCACAGTTTTTACTTTGTGTTGGTCAATATGATAACAGGGGTCAAATGGCATAGAATTGGGCCTTCCAACAAAATCAAATTATGGTCAAGGTTTTACATTACTTTTTCAAAACAGGTCAGTTTGTGAATGAAAACGTAGGCTTCATGATTTAGCACACAATGTTTTTTTTTTTTTATTTTGTTATTACCTGCCATTGTAGTAGTGAGAAAACAAGACCTTGACCTCCCTATGGGTGCAAACATTTGTTGTTTTTCAAACGACGCTGGTTTTAAAACAATGTGTTTTTGTGAAACTATGCAGATCTTGTCCCAACAAAGCGTTCTGTGAGTTAAAGCCCTGAGGATCCAGCGGGATGAGGAAGAAGTGCCGACCTGTTTCTTTTCAGTCGTTTCTGCTGATCGGAGCTGCAGGTTCTGATTCTGTCTCAAGATTCAGGCTGATCCCCCAGGCGCCCAGCTGAACTCGCCTCAGCGTTAACGTTTCATCATCTCATCTTATACCGATTTAACCGTCGCTGCTGCTCTCCTGGCTGGACCCTCCCGACCTCTGGAGGTCACAGTTTTTTTTTTCAGTGACGGCGAAAGGTTTAACATCCCTGCTGTCCCCCGAACCTCTGAGACTATTCTTTCTTTTTCTTTTTCACTTTTTTCCTCGTTATTTCTGCTCAGACCGATAATGCTGAGTAGATGATAAATTAAAACATAAAATAAAGCAGCTTGTGCATACTTTGACCTAAAAAGTATGCACCCAGTTTTGTTCCCCCAACAACTCACCTGACCTACATTTAGGACCTTGACTGCTGCCCGGTGCTAAAACTGCTAGCAGTGCTTCTTTGTAGCAGGAAGGTCCTGGGTTCAATTCCCAACTTGGAGATCTCTGTGTGGTTTCTGCATGTGTGGCTTCAGTCTGAGGAATCTAAAGTAACTTTAATCATCATTGTTACTCCTAAAAAACCTATATCAGAAACTATGAATGTTGTCACATATTGAAGTATCACCATGCTGAATAAAATAGAACGTGTTGCAATTAGGCTAATTTGTCAGCTTATAAATGCCATGAACGTAACAACTTTTAATCACGCACTTTTCATTAAACCCGTATTTCTGAATCATTATGTACTGGCCTGATGTAATATTTAATGTTAGCTCTAAGCAGAAAATGATCATAATTCATTCTTTGAATGTTCATGAGCAGAGGTTTACCACTGTGCCACTTTTAGGTTGGAGTAGCTCGTTTTTGTTCTCTGTGAGATACAAACGTCTAATATTCTGATAACACAACCTCGCACTGTCTCTTTAAGAACACGCTAAAGCGTGATCTGGGTTACCTGGTGAGACGCGCGGGCCAGATTTCACGGCAGACGTCCTCCACTTCCAGGTTTGTGTTAGACTCTGGCATCAGCAGTCATAAAAACGCTGATATTCGTCGGGCGTTCACACACAGCATCAGCAGGTCACTTTTCATTCACAATTTCACACTCACCTGACAGCAGGAACATGAACACATGTGAACGAGAGCAGCTGGTGAGAACTTGGTGTCAAGGCAGCTAATGTAAATAAATAAAAAAAAACAAGAAAGAAACGCTGATTAAATTATCACATACTGAACCTGAGACTTTATGCCTGCATTTTTCTTCCTCTAAAATGATCTTGCAGCTGATTAAAAGGTTGCAGTGCAAACAAACTCCTTACAGATGATGAGATTCGTCCAGGTCAGTCGGGCCGAAACCAAAGCGCTCATTCAGTTTTGGATTTAATTAAAAGTTCCAGTTTAAGGAGAAGCGTCCGGCTGTCCGTGGGAGTGAGGAAGCGACATTAATCAGCCTCCACCTGGAAACAACGCGCTGATGTTAATTTGTCACAAAGCTTTGTTCACACGCGTCCCTCGGGGAAACGGTACCAGGCCTCCCCCGCCACGCTGCGCTCTGCAGCCGTCACCGTCTAATAAATCACTCAGGGATGAAAAAACAAACTAAACTATCACATCTCCGGGGTAACCTGAGACGAAAAATCTTCATCCAGACTTCCAGGGAGGGTCACGCTCAAACACAAACCTGTGAAATTAGCTTCTTTTTTTGGGGGGGTTTTGTCCCTTAACAATACACCAGGGTCCAGACTCCACTCTTGGTTTCTCCAGGTACAACTCCCTCGTAATTTTACTCGTTTTGTTTTGTTTCTCTGATGCTTTGACAGCTCGGGGAATTAAGCCACAATTCCCCCCCCCAAACACTGCAGGCCTTTTCACTTCAAACAAGTTCGAACAACAAGAAGTACAATTTAACCACGCCGCTATGAGAAAAAAGAAAATCCGGCTTGCAAATGATGCAAAGTGTCAACGAAGTGGGTCTGCCGTACTTTTGAAATCGGAGCAAAGAGCAACTCTCACTCTCCCTGAGGTAGATCTAGAACCTTCTGCCTGCCTGTCTCGGTCCAGTCAAATCAACGAGAAGGAGGAAAAAAAAATAAAGGAAAAACATTTGATTGCCTCATGAAGGCGATGTTTGTTTGTGTCGGGGCCGGCTGCGTGTCACGGTAGCAATCTGTGTGACATTTTCAACATGGCAGCGGTCAGAGCTCAGCGCCGTCACATAAAGGCTGAACAGGAAACAAGATGGACGTCCTCGCCTCCCCGGAATGAACATGTCAAATGATAAAACAGGAAATGTGAGACAACCATTGATTTTTGTGACATTTATAATGTTTATTCAAATGTTTTGTAATAGAAAGGAGATATTGAGCACAGAAACGACGTGTCTGGTAGCGTTGCGCCGAGGTGATTCATCTTCCCAGGCCGCATTATTTTACATATGCTCTATAAAAACATCTGCCTGTAGGAGAATATTTCACAAATTATTTGGAGTTAGGTTGATTTTTGGTGCAGCGCCCCCACAGGCGAGGAGGTGAACACGTTTTTCAA